ATATAGATATATATATACTGTGTATAGTGCTGTCAAGCGATTAAAAATGTGCGTGATTAATTTGGGTCTGTAATTAATTAATCTAATTAATCTATATTTTAATCTCATCTAAAAATTACTGAGAAAAACACTATTTTCATTTTAAATTCGTTACATTATTGAGGCAGATCAAAAGATAAAAGAAAAAGTGGCATTATAAAGTATTTTATTGTTTTTCAGCAGACTTGGACAGATGCAGTCGTAGCCATTTACTTTCTGCTGTATTTGAGACTAGTCAAAGTCCTACCCGCAACCTTTAGTTTCGACCACGAGGGGGAATATCACTGTTTTGTTTTTGTAAATCTCCAAAGAATTACAAAATAAAAATAAAATAGAACATCGGGTCCTTAGAAAGTGCTTAGAAACATATCAAAAACAGTAAGAACAATTTTCTGAAGAATACAAGTACTCAACACTGAACTTGCTTCAGATAATAAACAATAAATAAAATAGACCCTTTAATCACAGTGCTGTAAGTTAGCACTTCAGAAATAACACTGTTCATCATGACAAAGTAAAAGTGCTGAAATAAACATCAATCACTTTTTGTAGTCTACAGAGGACACATCAACCATGCCTCATACGTGGGGTGTTCTCGAGTTTAGTTTGCCGAAGAGCTTTGCTATGTATGGCTCGCTCGCTTTCGGTGCTAACGTTAGCTGTGGCTGCACTCGTGACTGGGTGCTTTGCATTGATGTGGGAGGCTAAATATGAGCTGCTTCGGTGGTACGCAAACTCCTTACAAATTAGGCACAACGCTCTACCTTTATCAATTGTGTCGTCAGGGCGTTTTTGGAATGCAAATTTTCCATTCATTGTGCCGAGGGCTCTCACATGCTCCTCCATTTTCACCTCTCCTCTCCTCACCGCTGCTTACTAAACCCGCCCAACTCCAATGGGAGCCTATCAGCTTCGGCTAAACAAGCCCCAACATAATGGCAGCCAATCAATGTCCACTTCAGTCTGTGACTGACAGTTGTTTCCCCACCCTCAACAACTCGAACACAGGAAGCCAACACATAAAGGTATTAGAAAAAGGCAACCCACCTACAGAAACAATAAAGGTAGAGATTAAAATTTAGATTAACGCATTTAAAAAAAATAACGCGCTAAATGTTCTGTAATTAATTAATTGCAATTAACTCGATAATTTCACACATCTCTCTCTCTCTCTCTCTCTCTCTCTCTCTTTATATATATATATATATATATATATATATAAAAATTTTATTTTTTTTTTAAATATATGTATTTATATATTTAATGTCTTTCCACAGTTTGGAGATGCAGGACTGCGGCTGTTATCGGAGCATCTGGCCTGCCTTCAAGTGTTGAACCTGTGTGAGACTCCTGTCACTGATGCTGGATTACTGGCTCTGAGCTGTAAGAGAATACATACACACAGTGCTCGCACGTCATCCCAATCTGTTGTCCCAAGAATCCGATTATGTGTAAATGCATGGAGAAGCATTCCACAAATTGTATCCGTATGCTTGTTCCAGCCATGAAGAGTTTGTGTAGTCTGAACATGAACAGCACCAAGCTTACAGCTGACACATATGAGGACCTCAAGGTAAATACAAGACACGACACTGATAATGGCAAATAGTTTGACTTTGTCTCATTCTGCTTTAAATGCTTGACTTGTATTCACATTTGCTCATTTGGCATAAGAGAAAACATCATTAATTTTACATGCGTGGCTTGATTGGCTGCAATTGACCGGCAACCGGTTCAGGGTGTACAGCGTCTACTGCCCGAAGACAGCCGGGACAGGTGCCAGCATGCCCGCGACCCTCGCGAGGATAGACGGATTAGAAAATAAAGGGATGGATGGCTTGATTGGAAGTAATTAATTAATTTATGCTGGAAAAATACACCTCTACATTGATACAGATCACTTTTATGGTGACATTTTCAAAACACGGAAACGTCCACGTTAGGTCCAACAAGATGTAACGTGTGCTGCTGGCCAATAGGCACACAACTCGGAAGACACTAAGAAAAATTTGCGAGGGTCGGCCAGAAGCAAGCAGCAAGGGGCACACTTGCATGTAATTCCACAATTTTTAATAAAAGTGTATTACGCAAGTTTTGTGGAGCCTGCAAGTGAACGTTTCACGATATGATGCGTGACTTTTTTAGTCTCGCCTAAATTATTGAATGTAATTCATTGAAAGTTCGAAGGTCCGCTTGACGGGTTGTAATGTCTTTTGTGCCGTTTTCCATGCAGGCCAAACTGCCTAACCTGAAAGATGTGGATGTTCGGTACACAGAGGCCTGGTGATCGACTGTCCTCGCACCACCTGTATATGGGGAGTCAGACTCCCAGAAGAAAGCCTAGCCACTCTGAAGACAGTTCACAAACAAGTTTTTTTCCTTGCATCGTCCGATATTTTCATCATCCAAGATGTCAGACGACAATCGTCAGGATCATCTTACTTCAACATGTGTGTGAGGAGAGGATACAGCGGTGCCATGACCAGGAAGGACAGTTGCAATTTTCTCCCCCACAAAGAAAGCTTTATGGACCTTGTTGCTCCCGTCGCTACTGCTGTCACTGTATAGTGGACGCTTTTTATTTTTGGGGGATGGGGGGGGGGGGGGGGTCGGCGGATGTTCAAGGACCTGCTACACTGTAACAAAACGGCTATTTTTGCTCCCAATATCCTTGTAATATGTTGTCAGATATATCATCTGTTTCTCAACTAATCCAGCTGGGAATGTTTTATGGGAAAGAGTGATGCCCACTCAGAACCTCCCACTCATTTTGTTTTGAATCGCTCATGGATCTCATGTGATGAAGTGCTTACATTCCAGCTCTTCTCTGCCCTAATCCGCAACGTTGCGAATCAAACGGACGTATTTTTCTCGTAATCAGACCCCCAATGTGTTGTCCAGATTGATTTGCCGGTCCCTCTTTTCCAAGACTGTGGTTGGGAACGGTACTGCCTTTGTGAGTGGTTAGACTGTGCCCGCTCCTCATTTACCAACACATTCAAAGGCAAGACAAAAGGGGGGGTTTCAGTTTAATTCGACAAATTTTTCCAGGCGTCTGCAATTTCATAAACTGTGTGTTTATATGAAGATGAATGTCGTCTGGAATGATGTTTGAGAAACAGTTTTTGGGGTCTCTGTAGGAGACGTGAACAGTGAGAGCAAAATAGGTCCCATTTTAATTCTTCAGTGTACATATACTGATCAGCTCCCGTTACTATTTAATAGGACTTTTGTGTAGCAGTAGCCTGGCGGTCTGGGATTGCCTCTTATTTATAATTCTTTTACTCTCTGGGATTTGATCCCGGCAGTATAGATGTTCACGGACTCAATTCTTTTTCGCTGTTTTGAGTGCTTGTTTTTGACGCATAATACATGAAGCCGACCTAGACCGAACCCGTTCGTGGATCTCTCTCTGGATTATTCCAACTAGGGGGTGTGGAGGGAGGATCACAATGATCTGTTAATGGATACCTGCACACGAGACCCATCACCAGCTCAGAGTTTGCGCGTTTTCATCGGCTCTGTCTTTTGGGCCTAATTGTTGACTGTTGGACATGGAGAAAGAACACTTGCCAAATGTCTTTTTGCATCCAGCCAACATGAGCTTCTTCCGCCAGGCCGTTGACGCAGATCTTGTGGTGCGCTCCCTGTGCAAAGGTGCGGTCTGACCTCCCCTGCCAAGGTCACACTGCAGACTCTTCTGCTGTATTTCAAGTGGTGGTAATCTTAAAGGTGATGTGTAAACAAGATGTTGGGACACAATTCATGTATATATTGTGGAGGTGGGCTAAAAAGGTCGATGGATTTGGGGGCAGGTGGGAAAAGACAACTTTAGGCCACAATTGTCCCTCGACATTCCCTCAAAGCGTTGCCTGTGTACGGTGGCAACACTGCATTCTCCATTATGTGGTAATTGCCCTGCCTCACTGCAAGTCAGCCACTTTTGTCTCGTGTATTTGGCTCCACATTGAGACAAAACATGACGCGTTCATTTTTTTGTTTTTTTGATTTCAGTCCGTTTTTGCTCCAAATGCATATAGTTTCTCTCCATGTGCCAACCCGGAGAATGCTCCTGGCGCGTGAGAAAAATCAAAAGTAACCGCCGAGAATAGGATGCCGTCCACTGCGAGTTACTTTCCTATTTATTTGCTGAAATGCAGTTTTCTATTTGGTGAGTAGATTTTGGGCCATCCGCATCCTTGCTCACTTTCGTATCCTGTGTAATGTACATACAATTGTATATAGACTCTCTTTTCTCTCTTGTATTGGAATCATTTTTAAACCCTTCTCGTTTTCTTTTCTCTCTTAATCTTGGCCTTCCTTTATCGCTGGGCTGGCGTTGCCTTCATTGAGCAAATCTGTGTGGTTGTTTTGTTGTTTCACACCAAGTGCACTGTAATCGAAATCATTTTCGTGGCATCGTATTTTTAATCCTACGTTTCCGGCTTGACTGATTTGATGACATAGTTCTGATGTTTGGTTGGTCTAGTTTTCAGGGTTGTTTTGCATGTACGTGTCTCGACATCATCTGATATTTTCACTCTCGGTTGTTTTCTATAAGGTTTGAAATTGTGATAAAGGGTTTGATCACTATCTGAGGTTAAGTGCTGAACTAGAGCAATCACTTTTGTTTTTTCCACCAGCCTCTCATAAGCCGTGACGGATCTTGTCACGCACTGTAATTATTGTTGTCGTTTTTATTATTATTATTGACAAAACCTAAAACAGTACAATTATGGGTGTGTAAATGTCCAAAGCTCAGAATTTACAAAACACAATGACCACTTCAATAAAATAAATATTTCAACAAAAACACACACACGCACGCACGCACACACACACACACACACACACACACACACACACACACACACACATTTTAACCCTTTCATGCACCCTGTCATCTGATAACATGATGAACTGTCAACTGTAGTAACCGCTGTCCCTGAAAGGGTTCCAAAATAAATAAAATAACTGGCCAAAATTGATTTTTTTTTTTTTTTTTTAATCTCAAGATTGCTTTTTTTTTATTGCAAAGAATTAGATAACCACTCTCCCGTTTGAAAACATACTGCTGTGGATCCATTTACTGGTTGTGTGATGAAGGAATAAAATACGGCCAAAATCACGGTGGTCCCTGCTACTGTCAGTTTTATTTATTGTGTTTATTTTATTTCATTTTTATTTTGATGACAATCACTGAACTTTGCAGGTGTTGGTTATTCGAATCAAACCAAGCTATTTGTATTGCAGACTGCAGACTTGCATTGAACAACCTCCTCTTCGTCTGAAAGACATCAAACAGCATATTCTTCGTGGCTGAATAGGGGCGACTATTTTTTTTCTTTTTTTTTATCATGGTTGTAAATGTGGGGCGGCCTTCGTTTTGTTAAACGTTCACCTTCATGTTTGTTCCTAAGAGATGAGATGTTTGTTTTCCTTAACTCCCAACTCACAGCGAGTTTGCAAGAGATGAGATGTTTGTTTTTTTTTTGTTTTGTTTTCCTTAACTCCCAACTCACAGCGAGTTTGTACTATTTAGGAATTTTCTGTGGTTTTGTCTGGGTCATACAATGTAAGGAGCCCCTCAGATGAGGCAACTCTGACTGAAAACGCAAGAATTTGATTGAGCATAATTCCTTCCTTGTATTTGTTGGGAGGCGGGGGGCATCTGGAAAGAGCCCCCATCCTTTTTTTTTTGTCTCTGTCAGCATTGATCTGCTCCTACTGGGTTGTTGTACTTACTATTATTGCTATTATTATCATTATTCTTATTCTTGCTGCTACTGCTCCGTGGCTGTAATAAAACGAAAGATCTTCAACATGATGTAAAATAATTTGAAACAAAAATAAATTGTCCGTGAGTATCTTTTAGTTGGAGGTATTCATTTTCAATCACATACAAAACTCAATTTTCCCATAGCGATGGGATTTTCACAGAGAGACCGCATACATGCACAAAACATTGTAGTGCACAGACGTATCAAATGTGAATGCAATTTCTTGATGTACACTTTTCGGTGTGCATAATTCCATTTCATGCAAAGAAAGAGTGCCCATCTTGTGTTAATTCATCCATCCATCCATTTTCCGAACCGCTTTATCCTCACTGGGGTCGCAAGGGCTGCTGGAGCCTATCCCAGCTGCCTTCGGGCAGTAGGCGGGGGGACACCCTGAACCGATTGCCAGCCCATCGCAGGGCACACACAGATGAACAACCATCCACGCTCACACTCACACCTAGGGACAATTTGGAGATTTCAATCAGCCTGCCATGCATGCTTTTGGAATGTGGGAGGAAACCGGAGAACCCGGAGAAAACTCACACAGGCCCAGGGAGAACATGCAAACTCCACACAGGGAGGCCGGAGCCGGAATCAAACCCGGTACCTCAGCGCGTCAATCTCACAGTGCAATCTACTGGTCCACCGGGCCGCCCTCTCTCTACAGTATGCATTGAATATATTTAGTAATTCCGAAGGAGTGTGATCAGCTGCAAGGATGTTAGTTCATTTAAATTATTTATTCAGTCAAGAAAAGTGCTCAGATATCCAGTTAGAATTAACGGGTGGTGGTATTGCGGGATCACACAACATTGACATGGCAGAGACTAGAATACCCTGGCAAAATCCATGATTAAAGATTAGTCACAGACAATGAACACAACGATATTCAAGTGTCAACAATAACGCTGTACGTGTCAGGGTAGTTTTGTGCTGCATTCAGTTTGCAGTTTCGATGGTGACCAGACCAGCAAAGAATGTTCTATCTTGAGAGTTGTCCATGGGTCTTTTTCCAAAATTTGGCGTCAACCACTTAAGTCTGTTCTACTGCCATTAAATGACACATCATGTTGATGAAGCCGTAACTGCAATCCGGGGCACAGAATTCACAGATTAAACCACAGGAGGAGAGCAGCAACGCTGAAATTTAGGAGCATTTGCTGCTCCATAATCCTGTCTGGCGTTCTTCAAGATGGTGACTGAATGACAATACAGCAACAAAATAGAAATGTTTATTATGACAGTAAATGTGGGGTCAAAGGAATTAAATTGGTGCTGAATTCAAAGTTGATGAAATTCTAGACCATATCACCCCCGCAATATGCACACTTGACTGAAACTCTACATGGTGAAATTTAGCTCCATGCACGTGTTGGCAGGGCCCGTAATAGCTCCTAAACACGACGTAACTCTTAGCCAAAAAAAGGAATACGCTTGAAAATAGCTTCATGAAAACAAACTTGTTTATCTAATTTGAATATCTGCTGCCTAATAATGTGAGAACCACAGTGGCTTGTAGTGGTTGATTACCAATGGCGGGCGGCCTTGGTGGCTGACTGGTTCGCAAGTCAGTGCAGATGTGCAAGGTTCGATTCTGGTTTGCATGTTCTCCTCGTGCCTGCGTGGGTTTTCTCCGGGTACTCCGGTTTCCTCCCACATTTCAAAAACATGCATGGCAGGTTAATGGAACACTCTATCAGGATTGTCCTGAGGTGTGATTGTGAGCGCTGATGGTTGTTCGTCTTTGTGGGCCCTCCGATTGGCTGGCAACCAGTTCAGGGTGTTCTGATAGAATAAATGTACATAACGTTATCCCATATTTAATCTTATATTACTACAAAGCATTTATTCAGCAATCTGGCCTTGCAAGGTTTCACAGAGAGAGAAACAGTGAAGAACAATGTTGAGGGGGGGCCAGCCGTTTCACAAGCTTGGATGAGATAAGCCATTAATGAGTAGACCTTGTTAGGCTGCACAGCTGTGTAAAAGAACTCTCACCCTTCCAAGCATACAAGAGTGCATCTATAAACTTTGGATTGAAGACTTCACCAACACTCAGACTGAAATCAGATAACAACCTCTGAGGAGTGGAAATGGCTCCCTTGAGACGGCGCGCTCATGACGAGCTTGCACAAATGAGCTCATGAACTCCTCTAAGCACAGGAGTGCATTGTTTCTGACCAGACGTCATCTTTCTATGGACTTCATCAATGGTTCTGACGTATGTCTGCTCCCCCCTCCCTTCCTTTTAGAAGCTTGTGTATTAGGGATCTCTTTTTTCAATAAATTGAGGATTCGGCAGGTTGTATCTCAGAGCGGGTCGAAGATTGTAACCGGGTACAACCTGTCCATTCTCTTGTCTTCCTTCCGTGTTTCTTGTTTCTTAAATGTTTTTGGTTGCCGAAACCTAACATGTACCCTGCCTACTACTTGAAGACAGCTAGGATAGGCTCCAGCACCTCCCGCGACCCTTGTGAGGATAAAGCGAATAGGAAAATGGATGGATAGATTGATGGATTTCCAATAGCCAGTGGAAATACCAAAGAGTTGCCGATGCAACTTTTTACACCCGAAAGCAGTTTGGATTAATGTCAAATGCAAATGTTACACTTTGTGTGAAACCCATTGGTCTAATTTTTCTTAAGTAAATGTAACTTGAGACAACGTCATCACCGTGAGTAGTGTTCATGTTTGTAAATGTGGAAGCTGCACTGGGCAGGAATCAAACCTGGGTGGCACGTCAGTTCTCTACTACTGCATCTCCCATCACACATTGAACGATACCACTGGAAAGGAGGTGAATAGCAGCCCATGATGCTGCCACTGACGAGAGGGCAGTAGCGCCATTTCGACAGTGATGTTGGCACCAGTTTTTGTCAATCACTTTGACACTGGTTTCAGAACTTTGATGTCATTTTTTTCACAACTCTAGATAAAACACAAAACGGTCACCATGTCACGTTTTGCGTGATGGTAGTGTAGAGCAGTGTTTTTCAATCGGTGTGCCGCGAGACATTGTCAGGTGTGCCGCGGGAAAATATCCAATTTGTATGCCTGTGCGGTCTTTCGCCCAGAAAGTAATCATGTAGTACCCTCCCATACCGCTAGGAAGCAGCAACAGCTAGCCAATTGCCTTGTGTTACGACGAGAGACAAGCGAATTTGTGACGCATGAATGCAGGACGACGGTGAAACAATAAAAATGAAAGATGATAAAATACTGTTTTCTTTGTGTTCTTAGATTCCCATTCAAGCTGTTATAACGTCATTCTTCAATGTTAAAAACG